GCCATACGTGGCGAGTTTCGCTTGCCTGCTGCTGCTGCCCACACGGCGGCGGCAACATTGTTGTGCGCCTCGCGGATTTGATGCAACTGCCTGGCTGAGGAGCAGGCCGAATGCCGCACGGGATGTGTGGAGTGCAGGTGCGTGGACCCAACAAACTGGGCGATTTAGCTTATTTTTTGTTGGCGCCCTCTTTTTTTTTTTTTTGTTGCCGCGCGGGGAACAAATATCCCCCCGCCCAGTCTTCGTGCGCCACTGGGCACGTGAGACAAAAACACATGCTGAAGTAATTTGTTTTTCTTCTCCATTTTGGGGGGACTGCGGGAAATCCTCATTGCTGTCGTTTTTGTTGTTGTTGGTTTGTTTTGTGGCCTGGGCGATAGTAACCGCCGCTGTGGGCGCCAGCGCCACGGCCGCCACCGTATGGGACCTCGCAGTATTAACTTTCTCTTCTGTCTGTGCGCAGAGACGTCCACGTTTTGTTTTTGGTTTCCGCTACTTCTCTTGCCTCCTCCCACACACTCGCAGAGAAAAAGAGATTAAACGCTACTCGCTGCTCTGCGCTTTGAGGGCCCTGCAGCCACCACCAGCAACACAAACAAGCACACACACACACACACACACACACACCGCTCACACACCATGCCCAAGCAGCTGTTTTCTTTTGCGGGGCTCCTCCTCTGCGTGCTGTTGATGTGCTGCGGTAGTGGGGCTGCGGCCGGTGATCAAAAGAATGTTGTGGACCCATTTACAGGGACGGCGATTGTGTCAGGTGCTGAGTGGGAAGACGTTACAAACGGTGGTGCATCGGTCAAGTCGCTGCGTGTCCCCAGCCTTGTGGAGGTGGACGGTGCTGTGTTTGCCGTTGCTGAGGCCCAGTGCAAGAATGGAAACGGCAGCTTCACTGGCATCGTGTCGCGGCACCTGAAGGGAATTGGATCAAAACCGACTGAAATTCCGATGGGTGCAGGCACAGGTTCCTTTCACACGCAGCTTCTGAAGGAAGGTGACAACGGAATGAAGGACACAGCGCGACCAACGACACTTGTGAGTGGCAACAATGTCTATGTGCTGCTGGGAAGCTGCAGCCGTGCAACACCGGAGAGCAAAGAGGCTGATCGAAGTAGCTGTAAGCTTTTGCTGGTGAAGGGGAGTGTGACTGAGAGTGGAGAGAAGAAAGTCCGGTGGAGCGAGCCACATACGGTGGAGTTTGAGCTCGGACTGTTTGTTAAATCCTTGACTCATTTATCTGCTGTCGGAGGGTCGGGTGCTGTGATGAGTGACGGCGCACTTGTGTTTCCCGTGCAGGCCACAAAGAATGGAAAGAAAGTTTTACTGGCCGCGCGCTTCTCCCCGTCAGAGAATAAATGGGGGCCTTTGGACGATACGGTGGGAGAAGGTTGCCACAATCCATCGATTGTGGAGTGGGGCGAAGGCATGTACCGGCACCTCCTCATGATGGCTCCCTGCACGGATGGCTCCTATTATGTGTACGAGTCTTTTATATCTTTGCGGGCTTGGCGTGCGTTGAAAGCGCCAATCTCCCGCCTGTGGGGTAACTCACGTGATAGAAAAGGGGAGGGCGTGCGAAGCGGCTTCGTCACTGCAGACATCGATGGAGAGACGGTGATGCTGCTTACCACGCCGGTGTATTCTGAGAAGGGAGAGGGTCGGCTGCATCTTTGGGTGACAGACAATGCCCGTGTGCATGACGTTGGACCGGTATCCAGTGAAACTGATGATGCCGCCGCCAGCTCCCTGCTTTACAGAAGCGGCAAGAAGGAGTTGATTTTACTGTACGAGAAGAAGAAGAGCGGAGATTCATACGGTCTTGTCACTGTGAACCTGACTGGGACGCTGAAGCAGATAAAGAGCGTGGTGAAGGCCTGGAAAGATACGGACACCGCACTAAAGAACTGCGCTTCCACTGGCACTGTTGACTCGCGGATAAAGAATGTGTGCAAGGGTCCTATTCCCACGGAAGGGCTGATTGGCTTTTGGTCCAACAGTTTGGAGGGGAATTTATGGAAAGACGAGTACCTCGGAGTGAACGCAACGGTGCACGGTGGGAGTGTGGCAGGCACGGAGAGGGTTGTGAGGTTCCGAGGCGCAGGATCGGGGGCGGAGTGGCCGGTGGGCAAACTGGGGCAGAACCAGCCGTACCACTTTGTGAACAGCGAGTTCACTCTTGTGGCGACGGTGATGATTGACGCGGTGCCGGAGGCAGACGGTCTTGCTCCTTTGATGGGTGTGAGGATGAATGACGATGCCAGCACTGTGCTCGTTGGTCTGTTCCACACGAAGGAGAGGAAGTGGGGAGTAATTGTCAACGGGAAGCCTCGGGGGTTGTTAGATGAAGCTGGTACGTGGCGGCCTGGCACAACATATCAGGTGATACTGCAAAAGGATGGGGATGAGGTGTATGTGTACGTTGACGGGAGGGCTATATACGACAGCGAAGGAGATGAGAAGGGCACCGTTTCTGACGAGGTGAAAAGGCTGCTCGAGTCGCACACGATCTCGCACTTCCACCTTGGCGGCAACGTTACGGCGGATGGCACAACGACCAGCCACCATGTGACGGTGGCCAGCGTCCTGCTGTACAACAAGGCACTTCTTGTCGGTGATGAGGTCCGGAGGCTCAAAGCGAACACAGTCCCTCTCCCATGGTTGGGTGCTACGACGCCAGTCATAATCCCGAAGGTTCCGCCAACGTCTGACGGTGATGGTGAGGAAAATGCTCTCGTGACGAAGCCTGCAAGCGCCGGGGACAACGCCACTGAGGAGCAGATGCCTAACCCGGAAGCGGCAGTGGGCTCAGGCAGCAGCCCTGCTCCACGCGGTGACGCCGAGCAGACTCCCGCAGAGGAGACACGCGACACTTTTTCGTCCGGCACAGTTCAAACTCCTTTTGGAAACAATGAGGGAGTGTCGCAGGGAGCTGACAACGCGCCGGTCAATAAAACCGCTTCGCCCGAACCTCAGGCGATTCCCCCGCCAAGCGACGCGGCGCCTCTCTCTGGAAACAGCTCCGTTAATTTGAGGAACATTACTGGTATGGAATCCGACGAAGGAAACAGCGACGGCACGGTGCGTGGGTGTGTGCCTCGGTTGTTGCTGCTTGCCCTGCTGGGGCTGTGCGGCGCGACGGCCCTCTTTGTTTAATGAACGGGAAATTACATTTGCGGCGCCTCAACAGTAACAGTAATAGTTGATAGCCGCCAGCGCTACTCCTTTTGCTTGTTGTCCCTGTGGGCCAACGTCTTATTATTATTATTTTTTTCTTTGGGGGATGTTTTTTTTTTTGCTTTGGGGGATGTTTTTTTTTTTGCTTTGCCACTCCTTGCACACTTTCAGTGGGTCGCGCCCTTTCTACCTTCTGTTTGCCGCTGCCGCCCACACACCCGCGCTGCCGGCCTTGTGGCTGTGCGTCGCACGGACTCCTGAAACGAGGCACGGGGCCGCGGAGACCGTGAGGGGCAACCGTGATGCGTGACTTTGTGACTAGGCAGCCATTTTTTGTTTGTGCGTGTAGGTCCTCCTTTGATGCCGGGCTTACAC